TGGTCCTGAGATGGGAGCAACACTTCACTCTCCGCTGTGATTAGTCTGAAAGCAGATGCCTGAACCTGACTGTGGAAGAGATGACAATAAAACATCAAAAGTGCAGAACCCAAAGTTTTTCAGCTTCCACCAGTTAAAAGACAATCAGATCACAAAAAAGAGGAAGGATCACCATAGATCTGACCAACAGAATCATTAGGTTTATGGTAGAACTGTTACTATAGTCTATTACCAGTGCCCTCAGAACTGCATTATAAGCATCACCAAAAAGATACTCCCTGAACATCAGGATGGATGTGTAAGAGAAAGCAATTCCAAGCTGCAATCCTGTTTAAGGGCAGAGGGACAAGTTTCCAAAGCAGAGCTTCCACCTGCACATTTGAGAATGACTCTACTAAATGCCCTGTCATCTCAGAACTACTAATGCTAGATTCTTTTGTTCCAGCTTTGAGCAGTCAGATCTATATGTGCATCCCCAGTTCTAGGCAAGTCAGATTTTGATGCAATACCTATGACTTCTTAAAAACATCAGCTTTACTGAAAGGTTGAACTGGTCTGGAGACAGAGTCACTGATGTGATGTGATTCACACTGACTCTAGCATCAAATGGTTTCCTTCATGTAGCAGAGATTTCCTAATTCATTGCTATCTGTTAGAAAAGCATCATTACATTCTTTTGTATTAGTTCTTGGATTCTGGACTCCCATCTAGGCATGTAAATGCTGTACGTTCTAGGTCAACAGCTACAGGGTCTAGGACAAAATTCCAAAAGACACATGCGAATTAAGAGTCGGATTTAATGACTGCTCTGTCCTTTAAAAGATCTAGCAATCACTGGAGTCTTCACAGGCAGAGAATAAAGAATAGAATCGCAGTATACACCTGCTATGCATTCTTCCCAACAGTTTTATCATGATAAGGCTTCTTGCAATCATGGACAAAATACTTTCATAGCATCTAACAGATTAGTCAAATTTTAGCCATCCTCCATGGACTTTAAATACAGTCTAACCAACTATGTCAAATAAAGAGCACAGGCTGCTGTCAGCATTAGTATGATAATATGGCATTATGCTTCTACAGATTATTTTATAGATGTACATATGTATAAAAATGGAAAAAAGATATCCATCAATTCTTAATGCCAAAGCTGGTAAGATTTTTCTGAGTTGCTGCAGACCAGCAAAATACTACTCCAAGAACTTCATGATCATTTTAAATCCCTGTATGCCAAGACCCTCAAAAGTCAACACTCGAAAATGGAGATTTGTCTGTCTTTCAAGTCAGCACTACAAATCACTCACAGTCAAACTGAAAATACGGGGTTTGTAATCAAACCCAGTCCTTGCCTATGCTTTTGCAGGATGGGTCTAATCCATGGCTCTGCAACAATAGAAGTCCAGAATTCTCAAAAATTAAAGGAAAACTTGGGAATAAAGGAGGAGAAAGGCAGGAGGGCATACTAGAAAAGGAGAGATACTTGAATAGTTCTGTGAATTTTTTTTTAATCAAGTTTAATAACACATAACACCAAGCATGTGAATAAAAAGTGTCTTCAGAGACAAAGACATAATGGAAATTAAAGTACGCACTTAAGTTGCACTTCTCATGAGAGAGAAGTCTACAACATTGTCAAAAAGGTTATGATAAAAGAACTGAACAGAACCTCTCAAAAAGAGTAAAAAAAGATACAAATCACACAGTAACTATTTCTGACAGTTTCTCTGTCTGACTATTTCTGTCCATGAGAGAGATATTTCAGAAGAAAACTTTGTGCTCAAATTTAACAACAGATAGCCACTGTGCCACTCAAGGGAATAAAATCACCTAAAAATATCTAAGATTACTTTCCACCTATGTAGAGTAAAAGAAGGGCCTGGATTCATTTTAGAAGATGACTTTTTCTTTAAACTCAGAAAAAAATCAAAGGCCATGGAAAATACTCAGTCACAAGCCCTGAAAGCATAAAAGAAAACTGAATTCTCCAAGTCTGTTCCAACTGGCAAGTTAAAGGGTGTTCAGGTTAGGGAATACAATTTCTGTTGAGAATAACTTTGCTGTCAAGAAAGAAGTTTGTGCCAACTCATTCTCTGTGACCGTGATTTCATTACCACTGGCAACGGTAAATATCTGAAGAAGTTATCTGCAACTCAGTTTTTCATCAGTTTAGAGAGGAAATTAAACTAGAAAGAGCAAAGATAGTCACGGAAAAAAATTAAAACCTATTTAATCATCGGTGTAAAATTATCTAGAGTCTGCATCCCCATTCAACAAAAACCTTTATGGAAAAGGCTGCAGACATAACTGAAAGGGACATTAAGTATAAATTGCAACTGTATCCTCAGTGACAAAATAATCAAAGAAAAAAGGAAACCAAGATCATAGCTTCTAGGCGAGACAGACTTAGGATGAGGACAGGTCCTGAAAATTTAGCTGTTATTTCTTCAAAGAGCTCAGTGTACTCATGCCAGAGATAAATACAAGGAGGGTATTTCTGAAAAGCCATGAACATGGTAACAAGAATTTCTAAATTTAACAAGCTAGCATGTCGGGAATTGGGGGGTTCTTTCAGGCACGCCCTCGAGCAAGTAGCTCAACAGCTTCCCAAGTTGCAGCAAACTCTACAGAGTCTCCTTCAATCCTTAGGAAACAGGTTTTCTTTCCATCTTCTCTGAGATGTATTTCTGCTCCCGACTCTTCTCAGCCTCTGCCTGGGCTGCAGGAGCACCACAGCCTGCTGGTATCTCACATCCATTCCACCTGCTCTACCCTAACCTCAGGGTAGGTTAACCTCATTCCTGTTGCTCCCCCAGGCACACAGCAACCACCATTCCCCAGGACGTTCCACATGACTCGGTGCAGCAGCCAGGACAGAGAAAACAGCAATGTTCTCACATGCTGAGCCACACTCTTAAGAAGAGCATAACATTCATTACATAAACTGCAAACACACAAAATGGATGTCATCCAGCACAGAAATTGCTATCAATGGAAAGGATTCAGAAACCAAGTGTCTTATTGAGTACTGAAGTAAGAGAAGACAGATGAAATCAAGTCTGTAATGAAGTCATACAGTTGGGACTACGGAGATTTCAGCTATAAACCAGGGGCTTATCAGTTGGAAGTGAAAGAAAAGGAGAAGGAATTAGCTCCATCAGTCCAACATCGGCATCAACAAGAGGAACCCAAGGAAAAAAGGGAGTATCTTTTCGTTCAGACGGTCAATTATAACTTCCCTTAAACAAGATCCTCTTGAAACATCAACAAGAATACATTGTCCCTATGTAAGAAAGAACAAAACCAGCTGAGTTAAGAAAAGGTTTTGTCAGGAAACAGGAAGTCAGGGGCATATCTTTAAATAAAGAAAACTGTAAGAATTTACCTTCTAAATTTATCAAAATAAAAGCTGAAAGACTACAGGATCACCGTCTATAAATATGTAGCATAAACACCAACCAGAACAAAAGCATACTGAGCGCCACAGTAAACTTGGCACAACTAAATTTAGATCAGAAATTAGGTTATTAGCCATCAGAGGATGGATGTTAGCAACCTTGCAGTTTCTCAGCTTTGAATTTAATCTTAAATTATCAGAAAGATTAAAATATTAAAGACCACATAAGTACCTACCAAAAGACAGTCAAATCCTGTAGAATACGTATCTAAAGTTTCCCAGTTTTTTCAAAAAACTATCTGTAAAATTCAGGACAAGGTTCCCTCTATAAAATTCTTAACTCCTTCAGAGTTCCTTTTAGTAAATCTTGTAAGGCAAAATTACCAATTCAGACACGGCATAAGTAAGTGACCAACAATGTTTCTAACCTTAAATAGGTCAGAAAGAATTAATTTAAGTTTTAACTCCATCATAATGACCAATAGGGCAAAGCCTGGAATTCTGTTTTGTTAAGGGATTCCCTTCCCCGACATATTTTTTTCTAGTGGTCTTCTAAGTTTCCTATTCTGGTAGAGACCTAGAAACCAATAAACATGTTTCAACTTTCCAAGAAATTTTGCCTGAATTTAGATAAGAGGTAAAACAAATTATCTAAATGATTGATATATGTTCTGTTGCCTATTATAAACCTTAAATATCAAGTGACTTCAGGTGAGGGTCAGAACCATGATAATACATTCCAATAGGAGCAAGACTATTCTTAGTTTGGGGACTGGACTTACAAGCTGATCTTGACAATGGTTACTAATTTGTGCAATTTAAGCCCTCAACTCCCCGCTCCAAGAAAAATGCAGTAACAGGAAATGCTCATTTTTGGGGGAGATTTCAGGAATGTGTTTTGGGAAAGCTTATTGGTTTGTTTTTTTAAAATGCTCCAAGGCTTTTACATGGGTACTGAAAACAAACCTTTAAAGTGTGGAGATTACTGAAAGTAACAAAGGTGATAGTCAGGAAAAGTAAAATAAGAGAATGGCATAGGTTATCTCATTTCTGTAAGTATCATATTAATTTCTTCTCAGATATGCAGGTATGGCTAGAAAAGATCACATTCTTTGTTTCGCATTATATGCTGTGACAAAAAGGTGGGAATAGGGTACATCGTGACACTTAAAACCTGTAGTCTGATGGAGTCATCTAGCAAGAACTGACAAAAACCTCTCTAGCTAAATATACTGTTTCATTATGTATCAAGATTTTGAATGTGATAATTATATTTACATATTATTTCATATCTCATTTGACTTCCTTTTCAACAGTAAACATGCAATAGGGCTGAATATCTACAAAGCTGTGGTTCCACTGTAGTTTAAACAAAACAGGTCTTTTCAAAACAGGTAAAGGTCAGTTCTGTTATTTAAATAACCTGCAGAGGTTAATAAAACCTATGTGCTTCCAGATGTCATTCTGTTAAACAGAACTGGAGCACTTAAACTGTTACCCTGGGAGTACTTTCTTCCTAAATTTTAGATTAGAACTCTCACAAAACATGTATTATGACATAAGCATCACTTTGTGAGCATGCACGTATACTTTGCTGTTTTGAATCTTACCTAGAAATCTCTGCTTGGGAGTTCTTCTCTCCATCAACTGTAAATGGTGATGCTCCAGTTAATAATTCATACATAAGAACACCAACACTCCACCAATCAACAGCCTATAGAACAACAATAATTATATATGTTATGATAGATTGAAGTAAAATTGTTAACGAAAGAAGGAACAAAACAATGCACCCAGGAAGCAACTAGCAAAGGAAGAGCCCACCTATCAATACAAAGGCAAACCTGGATACAATAAAGCATAAACAATTTCAGTACTGGAGGTATTTTCTATGATAAATTAATTTTCTTTTGAAATCTCTCCACTTAGCTTCTTGCTGAATTCTTTCCACTGAATTTCTTCCCCCAGAATTATTTTTTATTTTTACAATTATGAAGTGATAAGAATTCTAAAAATTACTCAAAATAACAGAGGAACCTAAGGCTTACTAAGAAGTAGTCAAACCTGAGCTTTTAGGAGCCCGAGAATGAAACTAAGGAACTTTGAAAAAGCACAATTTAACAGTACAGGTCACAGTTAATCAGGGCACCTGAAAATGCTACGGAATTTTATCTTATATTCCCTGGTAACACTTTGGCTTCCCGTATACCAACCACATTATTGATATCCCTGATACCTCATAACTTACAAAATATTTCTCTCTTTGAAAAGAAAAGATGCTACTATGAATAACAAAGGAAGCAGTTTAGTCATTTCAACAACATTGATTTAACTACAGGTGTTTGAACTTCTCAGTTTTACTTCCATGAAATTTGCAAATCAATGAAACTGAAGTTCTGCTTTACTTATGTTGACAACATTAATACAATACAGGAAGACAGTGAAATGATGACAATCTGGCTTCATATTTTAGTTTTTTTGTTTCAAAATACACAAAATCTGATGTTTCATATATTTAGCCAAGACTGCCTAGATGAACTAGCTGAAGAAGTCTCTGTACTGTTAGTAATTATCTTTGCAAATACACAATTATCAGAAAAAAATCCCAGAGGAAGAATCTTTTCTTGGCATGTGTTTTTTTCCAAAAGAAACGAAGGATCTGCAGAATAAAAAAAATCACTTAAAAAAAACCCAACTGAAATACTAGAGCAAGTCTTTCAGACAAACAATACAGCTATCTAATCAATGTTTTTGATCTGTAATCTTTTCTAATGAGAGCATAGCATACTAAAGCAATATCATTTCCTCTTTTTTTAAATAAGATCTTTGAGTCACTAAATATGCAGTTAATATGAAATACACTAAAAACTTTCTAACACTGTGTCATATGACATTGCCAGTGGGGAGGCAAAGAGTGTGTGGTGTAAACAATTACCATCACATAGGTAACTGAAAAATCACCCTTATTTATCACCTAACATTTGGTATCAAATTGTGAAGGTGTTTCTTCTAGAATACTGTATAGCTCTGCATTACATCTAGCCAAAGTATCAGATAGAACCAAAGATAACAGAACAGAGATTCCTCTTTAAATCAAGTAAAACCATTAAATTTGTAAGCTTGAGAAGACAGAATCACAATTCAAAGTGACTGACGCATTGGAGAGATGCTCTGAAACTGGCAAAACTAAGAAATAGAGTTCAGGAAAGAGCTTCAATTCATAAGTCAATTCATAAGTTTGTAAAATTCCTTTTTTAATAATAAATAGGCAAGGAGTACAGTAGAAAAAGATGAAGAGGTTACAGTGGAATACAAAGTAGGCGTAAGACAACGACTAAGTGAAAGGACAAAGCACATTCTATTTTATGTTTAATAGAAGAATCAGGGAGGTAATCATTCTGCTGTACTTCAAACTGCCAACTCTTAGCTAAGACACTGTACCCACTACAATGCTCCCTACCTGAAGAAATACACAGGGAAACTCAGATCAAAAGAAATGCAGAATGCATACAGAAGGAGAAGAAAGAACCTTCTCAGGCAAAGTCAGACTGAGTCCAGTTAGTCTAGAAAAAGGAGATGGAGAGTAACATAACATTTTCCAGTGCTTAAGGAGGCTCTTATAAGAGGACCTGTGATCAGCTATATTCTGTGACCCCAGATCAGCTATATTCTGTGACCCCAAACAAAAAGACAAGTCAACTCAATCTACAGGAAAAAAACAAAAAACAAAAACCCCCAGATTAACTATTGTCCAAAACTTCTCAGTATAGTGAACAATCAGAAGAATTTATCTAGGAATACTGTAGAATTCTTTTGGGGAGTAGTTGTTTTGTTTTGTTTCAAACATTATCTATGAATTATGGCTGCCTTGTTGTTCCCCATCAATTAATGACACTTTAATTCATAATAAAACTTGAGCTTCAAGCTAAACAGAATTAATTTTTACAACCTGAGAACATTTATAACAGTAATAACATTAATAACCCACTCCATACTTCTAGAAAGATAATAGATTAGCGTCAGCCAAGTTTTTTTGTCCCACTGCACATTTAGAACAAATTCTGAATAAAACACAGATGAGCCTCAATACCTTTATAAATATGCCTTTTACTTAAGATTAAAAATTCAAAATACATCTGTTGTGGTTTAGCCCCAGCCGGCAACTAAGCACCACGCAGCCGCTCGCTCACTCCCCCTCTCCCAGTGGAATGGGGGAGAGAACTGGGAAAAAACTTGTGGGTTGAGATAAAAACAGTTTAATGGGATAGCAAGAGAGAAGGAAACAATAACAACACCGACAAAGGAATGTACAAGAACAAATGATGCCCAATACAGCAATTGCTCACCACCCAGTGATCGATAGCCTGTCCCCAAGCAGCGATTCCCACCCCCCAGCTAACTCCAGTTTATGTACTGGGCATGACGTTATATGGTAGGGAATATCTCTCTGGCCAGCCTGGGTCGGCTGTCCCAGCTGTGTCCCCTCCCAGCTTCCCATGCACCCCCAGCCTCCTTGCTAGCAGGCCAGCACAAGAAGCTGGACTGTCCTTGATGATGTAGCAACAGCTCCAAACATCAGCACGTTATCAACATTTTCTCATCCCAAATCCAAAACATAGCCTCACACTAGCTTCTATCCTGGTTGAAACCAGGCCAACATCATATTGATGTTTTACAAGCAATAATCTGTTTTAGGACAATCTGAAATAAGGCGTATTTAAATAAGACACTATCGTATTTTACAAAAAACCCTCAAGCTAACAACAGGGTTGCCTAGAGAATTAATTTCTTTTAAGTTATAAACTTATACAGAACATACCTTGTCATGTCCTGTGTCTCCTCCTCTTACAATATCTGGAGCCATGTATTCTATTGTTCCACAGAAGGAATATGCTCTCTCATTCTAGCAAAAAAAGAAAATAAAACTCATGTCAAACAATTGTATTCTACAAATCATATGGGACAGATATGGCTAACAGTTCCAAGATGATGGCAGCAATTCTTCTCCAAATAGCTCGGAACTGCTAGCTAAATCATATTACATCATCTGTAGAGATGTAGCACATAATGCTACAGAATATTTACAGTGTTCTACAAAAAAATAAAATGTCATAGGTTTGTGTGGCAGTCTAAGATAAGCACACAAAAATTAACATATTGATATTTTAAAAACTTTCCCGTAAGTCTAAATGATCTATACATTTCAGAACTACACAAGATTCCCCAAGGCAATCTAGACACACATTCTGAAGGCTGCAATCTCAATACTCTAGACAACAAATGAAACCTTTCCATTAAAAAGAGCATTTCATTGTAAAATGTATTATTTGACTAAATTGGATACAAGATCCTTTGGGTTCCTCATATTTAGGAATTTATTATGACCTCTAGAAAAGTAATTTTCTTTCGCAACACACACATACATAAAAAACACAACATTCTCTCAAGAAGAGACTTGGAGAGAGACAAGAGAGAGAAAGAGAAAGGCAGACAGGCAGAGTTGTAAATTTAATTTTATTCTACACACTGAAGTTATTGTCTTGATTATGTTCAAAACTAAGCTGCTTTCACAGGCATGTATAATTGTTCCCTGTTAGCGATTTACCTTTGAGGTCAACATGAGGTCATGCTGTACCTTGCTAATGACGAAAGCACATGTGTTTGGGCCATGCAACATTGTTCCTCCCTTATCCTTCAAGCTTCTAGCATTTTGGGGAGAGATCCTGATAGGTCCTTTAAAGAAGAGTGTTCAAAAAAGCAAATATTTCAAAAGTCAGGTTTTACATTTGTAGATTCAGATTTGGAGTTTAAAACAGGTGCTATATAAGAGAATGTACTACACTAATGAGAGGAAGCTTCTAAGAGTAGAAATAGTGCTCAGTGCTACCCTGAGGCATAAAAATTAAACAGTCCAACAGCATATTATTAAACTGTATTTATTAAAATACATATACTGTGACTGGTTTTGGGGGTAAAATTCTGAGCCCAAAATAGTTACAGGCCTCATTTTGTTCAAATATTAACTTGAAATACTAACTTCTAAGACAAAACCATAAAATAGTAAACTTTTCATGATTCCATTTTCTTTTGACACAACTATTCTTCCTCTTTGATTATCTTTTTCAGTACCTGTTATCTAAAAGAAAACTAGTATGATAAAAAGCAAAACAAAAAAAAAATCAGAAATTCCTAGCCCTCCATCCTGGCATCAGCCAATCTAAAGCTATTCACATATCCCTCTGTTCATTTTTCCTTTAGCTGTCAGGGAGGGAGGGAAGAAGGGGAAGAAGGAAAAGGAAGGGGAATGTAAAATACAAAATGCAATTGTTCTTCTCTTGCTACCTCTCCAAAGAGTAAAGATAATACAGCCAAGCTGAGATTTATGAAAACAATTTATAATGCTAATATATCAAAAGAAATGGATGAAAACTATCATTTAGTTAGCTGCAAATTCAGCAAATCATTGGCAAAATTATGTCTTTTTTGTCTCCACGTTGTATAATAAAGCTAGGCTACACACTACAGTGACAAGAAGCAGACTGGGGAGTTGTATATGAACACATACAGTGGTACAGCAGAACCCTTATGATCTCAGGTACCTTTTGCTGGTGAGAAGGCCCACTAAAACATTTCAAAACATGCAGAATTATTATTAGTTGCTTTTCTGAGGAACAATTACAATCCTTATAATATATAATTGGTTGTTCTGATTTTCAACTATATTTACTTTTTACCTCTTTTACCTTTTATAATCATTTTTGGTTTTAATATGAAAGATGGAAAATCTGAACCAACATCTGAAAATTAGTGTGAGGTATTTTTTTGTCCCTTGCAAAATTCAGTGTCTAAAACTCCCAAAATAATTTGAGGTTTAAAAAAATTTGTATTGTGTAATTTAAAATAATGTCTTATAATTAAATTTCAATACGAAAAACTCATACTATAAGTCACAAACAGGCATTTATAAATTTAATAAATTATAAATTTATAAAAATATAATTTATACATTTATTAAAACTCCAGTTTCTAATCCACATAGGTAAGTACTTGTATCCTTTGTACTCTTGCTTCCTTTTCAGTTTAGAAGTGGTCTACTGCTGAAATTCAAGGCTGAACAGAGCCAAGAAGAAGAAAGCAGATGATCATCACAAGCGGAGTTCTTGGCAAAAAATTAAGTACTAAATTGGAACTCAGCATTAGGTAGTAAAAAAATAAAAATGGACCCACTGAGCATTTTCTTTGTAATCAGCACTGATCACATGTACTAGCACCATATTCCAGAAGCCCTGTTGGAACCACCTTATGACTGTTACAGGAAGACCATTAAGAAAAAACACTCCGATACCAACTATTTATAACTTATTTAACACCACAAAAAAGCTCAGAGGACTACAGCACTCTCCAGAACATTAATAAAGCCAACTGTCTAAAAGCAAAGCATTCTGACTCGACTAAAAATTGACACAGATTTGCCTGCATAAAACACTGTAGAAAGTCCTGACTTCAGACAGTTGAAGTCACAAAATCTGGATACTTCTTTGTTAGAAACCTCCATTTATTGTTTCATTAAATGACAAGCCCCACCAGCTATATCTAGCTGTTACTTACAGAACACAGTCTTAATAGTTTAATAATAAACTTATAAAGTTTCACTAGGAGCACTTACGTAAATTTGTCATCATTAAAAATGCCTCTTACAGGGAGTCACTACTTGTCTTTACTGTTATGCATTACCATGTGGGTTTAAAACCATTTTCAAAGAATGTTACCTCCAATAAGTTTCCTTTTTCATCCCTTTCTGGTCTCCCCAGTACAAGAGAGACATGGACATACTAAAAGGAGTCCAGCAAAGTGCCACTAAGATGATTAAGGGACTGGCACATATGAGGGAAGGCTGAGAGAGCTGGGACTGTTTCGCATGGAGAAGGGAAGGCTCACGGGGATCTCATCAATGTATATAAGCGCCTGAAGGGAGGGTGCAAAGGAGAGGGAGCCAGGCTCTTTGCAGTGGTGCCCAGTGACAGGACCAGAGGCAATGGGCAGAAACTGAAACACAGGAGGTTCCCTGTTTTCCATCAGGAAAGACTTTTTTTACTGTGAGGGTGAATGAGCACTGGCACAGTTGCCCAGGGAGGTGGTGGTAGAGTGTCTCTCCTTGGAAATAGTCAAAAGACTTCTGGACATGGTCATGGGCAACTGGCTCCAGGTGATTATGTTTGAGCAGGTGGGGGTGGACCAGATGACTTCCAGAGTCCCTTTCAACCTCAACCACTCTGTGATGCTGTGACAAAAAGTCACTGTAAGTTGTATTTCACTGTGAAATCTTGTATTTTATTTGTGAAATCACATTTCACTCACAAATAAAGTATGCAGCCCCCCCCAAATTTTCAAAAAACCTATTTTGTATTTTGCCCCCCTGCAAATTTACGTTTCATTCAACTTTATAACATGAATCCAAATTCCAGAATACACATTATTAATACTTTCATGTTATAAGAGGTAAAACAAGAAAGGAAGTTACTAAACAACAACTGCACGTGGACTACCTACAGGTCAATTCTCACTGAACTTGCACATCTTGCAAATACTCAAGCTTAAGAATTTTTTGCAGAACACTCATTTTCTTCCCTCATTCAGCGTGCATGCCTTAAACATTGTGGTTCGCTCTTCTGAGCTGTGGAACAGCAAGCAATCAGACACTAATGGAAGGGAACAGAAGTGTAACTAACCCATCTCTAATAACTCAATATGACAATACTGATC